GGCAGAGCACCCACCGCCACCGTCTCCGTCTTCCAGTCGTCCTGGTCCTCAAGGATTCTGAGCGATTTCTGCAGCGCTTCCTCCCCTTGCTTGATGTAAGACATTTCCATCTCGCTGAAGGGTTTCTCCTCCAGCCTCGAGCCTGCCAGCAGCAGACAAAGGCAGGGCTAAGTGCAAGGACAGAATCGAGTGCCAGATGAGCTTTATCTACACCAAATTCCCTTCTCTGTGCCCAGGGGATGGGGATTAAACCCAGTTCCCTCTGCCTTTGGTTCAGCAGAAGCACAGCCCACCCTCAAGCAGGTTTTTCCCCAGCTGCTCTCTGGAGCCCCAGCCCGTGACGGTTTCCAGCAGGAAGGAACAGACCCCTGAGGTGTCACTCACTGAGCAAGGAGCTTCTCCTGCGCACCTGGTGGATCCAGGTGCCGGGTCCCGGGCTGCGGCTGGCCAGCCTGCTCAGCTCCTGGCTGATGGCCACAGCAGCTTGTCTCCTCAGACCTGGGGGAGAGAGCAGAGAGTGTCACCCGCTGGCACCGCCCTGCCCGGGCCTTGCCGTGGGCTTTCCCCCAGTTTAAACATGGACAAGGCCCTGCTTGTCACCACCTCGGTGTCCCTAGAGGCACAGGGGACAGCTGTTTGCCATCGCTCTGCCCTGGCACAGGTCGGCCTAAGCAATCCTGGGTTTGGTTCCAGCTCCGAACCTCTCAGCAGCAAAAATACTGAGAAGCATCCTGCAGGTGCCCAGGAAAGAGCACGGAAATGGAGCACAGAGGTACAAACCCCTCACAGCCAGAGGGAGGGTGACCCAGAGCTGCTCACAGGGACAGGAGCCAGCCCCTCAGGCCCCAGGGACAGGTCTGGTAGCAAAAAGGGTTTTAGGGACAGTAAATCCCAGAACCCAACATGTCACAGAGCGGGGAGAACTTCCCTGAGGTCCCAGCCACCACCCTGAGGAGTACAGAGAGAAAGAGGGTCCTTTCTGGAGCCTGGGACTCAACAGGAGCTTTTCTAATAAACTTTTGTCACAAACTCCCTCTGTGCTGCCCGTGAGCGCAGGGAGAGAATCCCTGAGCCCCGGCCTCATCCTGCCCCAGACAGACGGACAGGAACTGTCCTGGCCCCATCCTGCCCCAGACAGACGGACAGGAGCTGTCCTGGCCCCATCCTGCTCCAGACAGACGGACAGGAGCTGTCCTGGCCCCATCCTGCCCCAGACAGACGGACAGGAGCTGTCCTGGCCCCATCCTGCCCCAGACAGACGGACAGGAGCTGTCCTGGCCTCATCCTGCCCCAGACAGACAGACAGGAGCTGCTCTGGCCCCATCCTACCCCAGACAGACGGACAGGAGCTGTCCTGACCCCATCCCACCCCAGAGAGATGGACAGGAGCTGTCCTGACCCCATCCTGCCCCAGACAGACAGACAGGAGCTGTCCTGGCCGTGCTCACCGGTCATGTTGCGCAGGTGGTGGTAGGAGATGGCAGCGCAGAGCTTGGATGTGGCTGGCAGCATCTCCCTGTGGGGTCGGAGCTGTGGGCTGGGCAGCGGCTGTGG